ATATTATTATAACCGCAGCAATCTGCAGGTGTATGAATAATAATAAAATTAAATAAAAATAGCAATGCAAATACAAAGGCAATAAAATCTTTAAATAGAAAGTTGTTTTAAAAATTGCAGTTCTTACAGTTTGTATTTATATATACACTGCACTGTCTCCCCAGCAAACGCATCAATTTAATGTAGAGTATACAGCTGACTATATATATATATAAATATATACAATATATATTATATATAAATATATATATTATATATATAGTCAGCTGTATACTCTGCATGCAGATGCATTTGCATGCATGCGTTTGCATCTATACTCTGCACGCAGATGCATTTGCATGCATTCACTTGCATGCAGTTGCATTTGCATGCATTCACTTGCATGCATACATGCATGCATGCATGCATGCATGCATGCACTTGCATGCAGATGCAGATGCATAATTTTGGGTTGTGTTTGGTGGCTGTGTCTCTGCAATGACGCTGCAATTTTTGTTTTGTTTTAAATTTCTTCTTTTTGCGTCTTAGCCCGCAATCATTGTACAAAGAAGAATATATATAAATTATAAACAACATTAATATTATAAATGTATAAATATATATATATATATATGCATGTTTATATATACAGATATAAACATATACATGTATGAGATGCATGCATGCAGATACATTTACACAAACATACAATACATATAAGTATATATATATACATACGCATGCACATACGTATGTATATTCATACATACATAAATATAAAATATAAATATAAATATAAATATAAATATAAATATATACATATATATAGCAGTGTATAAATATAAAATATAGATATTAATGTATATATATTTAGAAGTGTATAAATATAAATATAAATATATGTCTATATTCAAAGGGGAGATACACAGAGAAGAACATCGTATAACAATACGTATATATATTATATAAATTATATTATGATATAACTATATAAATGCATAAATGTATATACATATATCTATATATACATAGGTATATATATATATATATACATATGTATACATATGTATATATATATATATATAAATGTATAAATATGTGAATAGAAAAGCATTTACATATATATATATATACATATATGTATATATATTTGTATATATATATATATATATA